TATTAGTACAAATCTTTCTTCTCATTGAATTAAGAGAAAGTAGCTGTATATGTATCCTGACTATTTTGTATATACAGATACAAAATGGTCCTTCATTTGTATCGCCTTTTTTTGTTTAGTTTTGTCAGAGATGGGTATTCCATTGCCCTTTAAATATTGTAGGTGCATGAATTCAGCAAAATATTCCAATATAGTCCAGTAGTGCATAATAGTAGTGGGTTATCCATAGGACTGGCAATCTCAGAAGTTGTTGACTTGAGCCTTTTACAGCTCAGCGTATTAATATGGCTTTACTTTTAATACCTCATTTTTATACATTTCTGCTGGATGGTTAAGACCAAAATAAAGCAAGACTTACACGTAATAAGAAATGTAACTTTTGGCATGGTTGTATTAAGGCCATGATAGCAATGGATTTGAGATATGTTTTGGAGTATAAAATTATATGTAAAGCTTTTAGCATACTGTCTGGAATTTGATAAATTCTCAGTATATTTGATGTTTCCATTTTTTTTTTTCCCAAGCCAGTGCTGAAAATAATTAGGTAAGACAGTAGAAATGTATGCCTTGATGCATGGAAGGAAATTGTCAGTGTCTCATATTGTTCCTTATTCAAAAAGAAGATGACGGGTTCTTTATTGTCAGCTATAGTTCTCTAGACTGAGTGACACTTGTGCTGGCTAGATGAATAGGCAGGATTTCCTGAATTTTTGGTTTGCTGAAAGGATAAAGTCAACTACAGATAGTGTGTTAATATCACAGACTGTATCACAAGTGACAGTGTTAATAAGGCCTTGATGAAGTTTCAGATAACTTAGCAATTTAGTTTCTTTTTTTCTTTTGTGGAACTGGGGATTGAACTCAGGCCCTTGTGCTTGCTAGGGAAGCACTTATTCCACTGAGCCATCTCCCCAGCCCTTAGTTTCTTTTTTATTGTAGATACTTTTAAATATAGAAAAGTATAAAAAATAAAAGTTAAATATAATCCAGATATTGTATTAGTGGTGTAGTTGAAATTGAATTAATCCCCTGCCTTTTTCCCCCATGTAACTTTGTGCTTCATCTTCCTGGCTCCTCACCCACCCTCCTGCCATACATCTCCAGCACATTTCCTTTTTATTAAAAGTTCAGTTTTTAATAAATACATAATGGAAATATTGAACCCTTCAATAGTGTAATCATTCTTGGAATATTTCTGTTTTTTATTGTGCTAAGTCATACTATGAAGAGTAGTCTTTGTGTTCTATATGTTTTTGGATTTTAAAGTCATACATCATAAGACCTTTAAAAATAAGTATAGTGATTATTAGTTTTTATATGTCAGTGCTTTAGAAATTTTTTGGGAAAAAAAAATACTGAAATAGTCTCTTTGGTAAGGAGATGTCATCTGAAAGACTTTAACAGTAAAAAGTTGACTTTGGTCCTGAAATGAGCCAGAAATAAAGCCAAACTACAAAGGTGGGTTTTTTTTTGGCCATTGTTGTTGCAGAAGCAACATAATATAGTAGATTGTATTGTGTATTTTATGGGGAAAAGATTTCTTTTTGTTGTTTTGTATAGTTAAACATGGGTGCTAAATTTTCTTTGAAAACCAGGGTAAGAGAGAGAACTGGTGATCAGTAGCAGTGGTTAGTAGAAGATACAGAGGTGAAAGAGGTAAAAGCAGAGACATGTTTTGACTATACTGATGATTGTTGTGACTAGACTACTATGAGTAGCTCAGCAATCTTTATAAGATATATCCTTTAAATATATAGCAGAAGTCTTTGTTCAAGTCAGGACAGCATCAAGCTAAAGATTAATATTCTCTGTGCACTTTGTTTTAGACATTACTTTGTAGAAAGAGTATTAATATTGAGTAGTATATTTTTCTATATTCTATCTACTAGAATTAATGGCTACAGCTAATAGTTATTTGTACTGCTATGTGGTGTTAAGTATGGTTTTGTTTTAATCACATGTGGTCTTTAAGGATATAAGCAGTCTCCAGCCTTGTATTGATGCCAAATACATATACACATATATATATATCTTTTAAAGTTGTTGATACGTGACATTCTACATGTTGAAAAATTGAGGAGTTTTCAAAATAGCAATGTAACTAGCCAAGATTGCTAGGACAGAAAGATTTGAAGAGACCCCTAGTGGTTAAAACTGGAGCAGATTTATTATTTGGGATAATGACTGAAATGGATTGAAATACTATATCAAATGTTTAAATATATGAAATTGTAAAGATGTTTTCCCTAATTGTGGGAATCATACATGCTAAGCAGGTTCTGTACCATTCAGCTGTATCCTCAGCTAGAAACTGTAGTATTACACAAACCAAAAACCGTGTCATCAGTGTAGAATAGTAGGAAATGAACTCTCTATTTTGAGAACTGGTCAGTAAGGGGAAGAATGAAAGCATTTATTGTTACCTAAGCTATACTGTTTGGTAACTGAAGAGAGGAACTGTCTCTTTGAAGAGTTGTTCTGATTAATAGATGAAGATATGAGGAAATTAAGATGTCGTGATTTTGTAACCACCTAATGAATACATGGTTCTAGGCATTGAACAGCAGTAGATACTCCTTCATCACAAAGTGACAACCACAGTTTTTTTTATGGTGCTACTGATCAAACCCAGGACCTAAAGAATGCTAGTCAAGTGCTCTGCCACTGAGCTGCATTCCCAGCTCATATTGTGAGAATCTTACTATGAACCTGAATTTAGAAGAAGCCTTTACACCCTTGTATTCATAGAACACATAGAATAGGCTGAAAACCATGAAAATTTGATGAGCAAAATTTAGTATAGGACAAAGGTTCAGTACAAACAAACTGCCTTGTTCAATATTAAAAATGCAGTTAAAAAAGACATTCTGGGGAACAGTTTTAGCTCAGTGTAGTGTGCTTTTTTAGCATGTGTGAAACCCTAGGTTTGATCCATACCAATAAAAAAGGAAAAAAAGAAATCCTGTAACTTAAAAGTGGCTTAAAAGACATCACAACCACAATTGTGTGTACCTTTATTTGAATCTGTTCCCATAGAAATTGAAAAGTTGTATTTGTAACAAACATAACTGGAATGTTGAAATTGAATATATGTAATGTTGAAGGACTTTTAAAAAATTGTAATGGTGCTGTGGTTTTTGTTTAAATTCTTTTGTTTTTGACATACATATTGAAATTGCTAAATGAAATTATGTGAAAGATTTGTTTCAAGGTTTTATACTGGTGTGAAAATCTGATGCGAGTAGAAATGAAACAAGATTGACCATAAGCTGGTAATTGTTGAAAGTAGACAATAAGTTTGTGGAAGTTTTACTGTTTTTCTATCTTTGCATAAGTTTGAACTTTTCTTTAATCAGATCTTTTAAAAACTAATGAAAACCTTGAAAAAACCTAGTAATATCAAGTCATAGAAACAAGTCCCTTTAGACAGGAATAATTCCTCATTAAATACCTTACCACAAACTGCAAAAATGTTTCATTAGTAGGTTAAAATAATGTTGGTGGCATATTGCCCTTTTTAGATAATAATTACAAAATATATTTTTAATAGGGCTCAAAAGTTCACACCAGCTGCCATATTGAAGAAAATACTTTTCTGGTGCATAAGCTTCTTGCAAGAATTGCCTTTTCCCCTATCTCACTAATTTTGCTAGCAGTTTGCATATCTGAATGTGCAGGAACCTTTCATTCTGAAATTGTCATTACTCAGCCTTTTAAGAAATAGATTCAGGAGGCTGAAGCAGAAGGATTGCCACAAGTTTGAGGTCATCCTGAACTACATAGCAAGACCTTGTCTCAAAAAAAAAGATGCAAATGACTACATACTAGGCCTTGCGTGATTTTCAGGGAAAAAAAGTGAAAGAACAGGTTGACACCAAGAAATTTTCCAAGAAAATAAGTTCTAAGTCTAAAGCTTGAGCGACTACTTGTCTGATTTCTTTTATGCTCTTCAAATTATTTTCAACATTCACAATAACATTTTCATGATGAATCCTCTGAATCATTAAAAAATGACTTGCTTATTTCAGAAGACATTTACACACACAATGCATCAAAACTTTTAGATCATTATTAAGCTGTTAGAATAATTTCACCTGCTCAGTCTTCAATTCATGAAGAAAATGGATTATTTGTAATGATATTTCATTATTTCATCTAAAATGTTATATGAATTGTGTGTACACAGAGTTCTTGAGTTCTTTCAAAAAGGAGGAGTAAGAACTCATGGTAAAAACAAAAGAGAAAGAGGTCACAGGAGAATAGAGACTTTTCTGTCACTTAAATGAAACTGTGGAATGTATTTTCCCTCAGTGTTCAAAGCCTGTAGTCATTTCAGTGCCCAAGTGCTTCCTTGTTAGCCTCCTCTATTTTTTGCTCAATTAGAATTTCCACTTATGGAGACATCTCACCAAATTATCTGATGAAAAATCAGTGACAGTATGAATGGCTAATATAATTCACTTATTGATTGTGAGGTGAAAAAGAACTAGATCTCCAGCTAGTACAAAGAAGACACAGGATGATTTTTAAGTAGGAAGGCCTCCTCACACCCCCCCCAGCCCGTCTTTTATTTATTTATTTTTTAATTTATTTATTTATTTTTTTGGCGGAACCGGGGATTGAACTCAGGCCTTTGTGCTTGACAGGGAAGCGCTTATTCCACTGAGCCATTTCCCCTGGGCCCCTGTCTTTTATTCTGAAAAATACATTATGCTAAAAATAATTTCAGCATGTAAACAGTATCCCAAATACTACATCATATACCAGATACTTTTCAAAATAATGGACTAATATGAATGTTTATTTGATTTCATATGTTTTTAAAAGTTTCTGTATAAACTTATAAAATAGAAAACAATTGAAATTTTGTTGTCTGAACTTTTTCTTTACAAAAGGTGGTCTATGTGCACCTAGGGAAATACCTTCAGAAAAGAAGGTGGCTTGTTAATTGTGCAGCTGGGAATTGGTTTGAAATTAAAATAATAATGTTTTTCTTTTAGAATGGCAGAATCTAGCGACATTTGGAAACTTTGCTTACATGGTTCCCTATTACCATCCACATATTTGTACACTAAGCCAAATAAAGTTGTACTCTACAAATATCCAGAAAGAAGGGCAGGGATCACAAACCCTCAGAGCAGAAAAAGTACCATCCTTTGATGAAACGGGTATGTATAAAGCCTTTTACAATATTTTTAATGTATACACTTCGATATATATTATGTAAAAAATACTTGTTCCGTGACTATTTGAGAAAACTAGACTGATGATTACTTTGTAGGGAGTATTAAATTTCTGAATCAGTTTCTTTCATTGTACTTTTTTATTCATTTTAATGAGTTCTATTTTTTCTAAGAATTTGTCCACTTAAAATTTTAATATTTTGCCTTAAAGTTTATAATATTCTACTTACTCTTTTTTTAAAAAATGTATTTGGTACAGGGTCTTACTACACAGAAACTCTAATTAGGAATAAATTAAATTTTCTCAGTGTTCCATGTCTAAACCTCTATCATATTTTCTATTTATCTTTCTGGTTTACCTTCTAAATTATTTTCTTAGGTATACATAGATCACCAATTTCTTCTAATAGTTTTTGTTTTAAATGAATTTAGGACAGGGTGTACAGGGTCTCACTATGTAGATCGGACTCATAGTGATCCTCCTGTTTTCAGCCTTCCAAGCACTGGGATTATAGGTGCGCACCACCATGCCCAGTCTCAATCCCTGTCTCAGCGCGCCCCGGGGGCAGGGCCAGCACAGCATGACAGAACCCCTGCACTCAGCCAAAGCAGGGGGTTTAGTTCACTGAACTATCTGGCTGGCCCTTCTTCTAATCTGTTGACTGGTTGTGTATGTTGGATTTTTAATTTCAATTGTTATATATTTCATTTCAAGAGAACTTTTTTTCTTACCTTGGTTGGTCTCTAATTCTTTGCTTATATATTCAAACTTTTAAAGATAATCTAGAAATATTGAATTCATTTTGGTTCTCACTATATATCATCTTTTTTTCCCTTTCTTGCTCTCATTAATGATGACCATACCTGTATTTTGTAACTGCGAGTTGGTTGTTTTCCATGCAGTTTTTCTGTGAGTTGGTTTTTCATGCAACTTTGAAACTGACATTTACCTGGATTGAGGATGTAGTTTTGCCTAAAGGATTTGCTTTTACTTCTGTTAGCTGATGGGGACACAACTTGGTATTACATTAAATCAAATTCTCCATTTTATATATTTTAGAGTACATCATTGCCATGAATTCACACTGCATACTGTGTGAAGGTTGATTTGTCCTATGATTTTCAGGGAAGTGGTTTTTTTCTTTCTTGCTATTTAACCACCAAAGTAGAAGCAAGTCTGTTTCCTTACTGTTGTCTTCTGTGATTTTTATTTCTAGTTCACAGTTACACCTGTATAGGGCTTTATCTGGCTATATCCTGTGTCAGTCCCCATCTTGAGTAGTAGCTAGCCTAATTCTCTGCCGTCTCACGTCCATTGCTTCTATGAAGGTAGAAGCTCAAAAAATACACGCTTCAACAGAAATCATTAGGGGAAAAGCTGATTTTATTGTGCTTTTAGTCTGTAAAGGTCCTGCTTTCACTGTTTTTGTCCTCTTTGAATCCCCCTCTCCGTTAGTGTTATATTGAAAATAGTTTTCTTCAAGGTATCTAGCCTGTAATGCAGCATTAAAAGGAAGCCCTTTATTTGCTTATTTAATATATCTCCCAGATATATTAATATTTAATATACTCCCAGAGTGCTAGGATTGCAGATGTGAGCCACCTCAGCCAGCTAACATTTTAGTTTCAATATCAGCTTTGAACAGAGATGTTTTTAAATCCTTATGCTAAAGTAACCCCCTAATCTTTAATATTACTGTAGTTTTCTGCATAGGCAACACTCCTGACTGATAGTTTCAATATTTCATCTTACACTTGTTGCAAGCCTCAGGAAAGCAGGAACTTGAGTGCCTAGAGCAGTGGTTTGCTCTAGGGCTTAATAAATATTTGTGAGTGAGTTAGTGCTTAAAATTTTAACCTGAGGATAAAGATTTAAAAGTTTTTGCTAGACACTGATGGTAACTCAAGCCATGAGTTTGTTTAAGATAGTTCTGGGAGAGTAATTAGGAAGAAGAGGTAAGATCTGTAGTATAAAATGTCAGGCTTTGCACTGGCAAGGCTGAGGCAGGAGAGAGACCAGTGTTGTATGTTTTGAGTCGGTGCCGAAAGAAACGACGAGAAGACCTGATGAATGTAGCTTCAGAGGTCTCACTGAGATTAGTCTTTCTCCAAGTGAGCCCAGAGCCTCAGAAGCGTCTCACTTTTATTGAGGGGTGAAGGCAGACTAAGGAATGTGCATAATTACCTAAGTGAATACAAACTACTATCTATATTAACTTCTATCATTTGCCTAACACTACGTTCACACAAATGCTAGCTGATAACATCCCAAGCAAGGGATCGAAGGACAGGGCGCCTGTAGGAGAAGCTATTATCTGCTGCTTTGGGTCCCAGTTTTCCGGGAATTTGCAAACAGACAGCAACCCTCCT